ATTTGTTGAAAAATTTACTCTCTCCGGATAATCCTTCAGATAAAAATTTTACCGAACTAAAAAAGGTTCTTAAGGATCATTTAAATCCTAAAGCTTTAATAATACCTAGTCGGCACATGTTTATTAATAGAAAACAGCATGAGGGGGAATCAATTAGTAGTTATGTCACTGAATTACGCTCGTTAGCGATTCCTTGTGAATATAAAGAGGATATGCTAAATACAATGTTAAGGGATGTTTTCGTTAGCGGTCTACGATATCGTAATATCTTAGATCGATTATTTCAGGAAGATGATATCGATTTAGAGAAAACATTAAAGATAGACTTGGCGATGGAAAAGGCGGTTAAGGGTGCAAATGAGATTATAGGAAATTCCGTAGAACTGAAGGTACTTAAAACCAAGAAAAATGCGTCCAAACCGCGGAAACAAAACTTTGTTGCTAAGAGCAATAAGGGTAAAATTAAAAACTTGCTCGCGTTGCTTAGGAGCAAATCACAATAAAAGCAACTGTAGATTTGCAACAAGTGAATGCCGCTTTTGTAAAAAAATTGGACATATCGAAAAGGCGTGTTATTTGTCTAGGAAAAACCGACAGGTTAAACAAAAGAAAGTTGAGGCAAATAATGATTATGATTCGAAAAATGAGATCCCCATCTATGGATTTAACTCCAGAACGCACATGTTAAGAGAGGAAGAGCCAAAAAGACCGCCAATAATGGTTCAAGTTAAAATTGAAAACAAACCAGTTAGCATGGAACTTGATACTGGGGGAACAGTTTCGGTAATGTCTATAAATAAATTTAGAAAAAATTTCCAATAAAAAGATTCAGCCTACAAATTTAGTTTTTAAAACTTACAGGGGTGATAAGGTGGTACCTTTAGGATATGTTCCTGTTAAAGTTGAATACCAAGGTCAAAAATTAGTTTTAAATTCTATACATTGTGAAGGAAAATTTGGACACAATCTTCGGCCGAGAATGGCTGTATAAAATCAATCTCGATTGGAATGCCATCAAAACATTGAAAACTTCTAGTGAATTGAATTTTAAAAAAATTGCTTGAGGAGTATAAGGAAATTTTTGACGGTAAATTAGGTGAAATTAACAATCACGAAGTAAAACTAAATTTGAAACCTAATACTCAACCAATATTTTGTAGGTCACGACCGGTACCTTTCGCATTAAAAAATAGAGTTGAATCAGAAATTGATCGGCTTGAGAAAGAAGGTATCATTGAGAGGGTTGAGACTTCAGAATGGGCAACACCAGTTGTGCCAATTGTTAAATCTGATGGTTCCATTAGGCTTTGTGCTGATTATTCTGTGACTCTGAATCCTAATTTGGAAGTGCCACAGCATCCATTACCAAAACTCGAAGAAATATTTTCATGCCTTAATGGAGGTAAAAATTTTTCGAAACTTGATTTCAGTCATGCTTATCTACAAATGAAGGTGCATCCGGAGAGCCAACGGTTATTAACAATAAACACGCATAAGGGGTTGTATGTTTGTAAACGCTTAATGTATGGATTAAATGCTGCTCCAGCTATTTGGCTGCGCTATGTTGAGGGATTATTTCAGGGGATCGAAGGAATTAAAATTTTTATGGATGATGCTCGAGTGACAGGACCGGATGATCAGTCTCATTTAAAGGCATTGGAAATATTTTTTTAAAAAGTGCAAGGAGCACGGCCTAAAATTAAACTTAACTAAAAGTAAATTTTTTCAAAATGAGATTAAATTTTTAGGGCATAAAATTGATGCCGATGGATTTCATAAAACGGATGAAAAGATTTCGGCAATTGCTAATGCCCCTACGCCGAAAGGCGTCCAAGACATCAAAAGCTTTTTGGGATTAGTGAATTTTTATGCCAAATTTTACCCTAATTTGGCAACTTTGGCACATCTCTTAAATAATTTAACAAAAAAAGATGTTAAATGGAAGTTGGTCAAAAAACTGCCAAATCGCTTTTGAAAAAATAAAAAAGGAAATTTGTTCAGACAGAGTTTTAATGCATTACGATCCCACATTACCGTTAATGCTAGCTACTGATGCATCTCCGGTAGGTCTTGGGGCAGTGCTCTCGCATGTTTTGTCTGATGGAACAGAAAGGCCTATAGCATTCGCATCGAGGACACTGACTAACACAGAGCAGAAATACGCCCAAATCGATAAAGAAGCACTGTCAATTGTTTGGGCTGTCAAAAAGTTTTATCTATATCTAAAGGGAAGACGCTTTTCTCTGGTGACAGATCATAAACCTTTAGTGGCTATTTTCAAATCGAAAAGAGGACTTCCTATCCTCACAGCCACCCGACTTTACATTATGCACTGATATTGCAAGCATATCAGTTTGATATTGTGTATCGAAATACCAAGGAACACGGTAATGCTGACTGCCTGTCGCGCCTGCCTCTTAAGTCCGAAGATTTAAGCATTAAGGATGATGTTGAAATATTCCAACTCTCCCAAATTGAAACTCTTTCGGTAACAGCTAGGGAGATAGCTCGGGAAACGCGAGCTGATGAAGAATTAAATAGTCTTTATATGAAATTAAAATCTGGAGAAAGTTTGGAAGGTAGGGAAGCCAGAGTACACCTTACAAGATGACTGTATAATGAGTGGTCAGAGGGTAGTTGTTCCGAAAAAACTCCGAGTTAAAATTCTCGAAGAGTTACACCAAGGACATTTAGGAATCGTTAAAATGAAGGCAATCGCCAGATCCTACGTCTTTTGGAAGGGAATTGATCATGATATTGAAGAAGTTTCTAGGAACTGTGTCGATTGTATTAAGTTCAAATCAGATCCAGTAAGGGCAAGGGTCCATCACTGGGAATATCCAAGTGCGCCTTGGGAAACGCATTCACGTAGATTTTGCAGGCCCTATTTTTGAACGAATGTTCTTGATTATCATTGACGCACATTCTAAATGGCTAGAAGTGTATACCTTAAAGTCAAGCAAATTCCTTTCAGACAATTGAATGTTTGAGAGACTGTTTTGCAAGATACGGACTGCCTTTAGTAGTAGTGAGTGACAATGGTCCTCAGTTCACATCGGGGGAATTTGAAACTTTTATAAGGAATAATGGAATTAAACACAAAACGTGTGCTCCATTTAAACCAGCAAGTAACGGGCAAGCAGAGCGGTACGTTTACACCGTTAAACAAGCATTACGTGCAATGCAAGGTTATCCAGGAAATATTAAGCAAAAACTTGCCATATTCCTCATGAATTATAGAAAGGCACCGAACATGACAACCTTGTTAAGTCCAGCAATGTTATTCTTAAAAAGAGAAATTAGAACTCGAATTGATTTAGTTGTTCCAAATCTTAAACGAAGAGTGGAAGAACGCATCCGAAGGAATACTTATGATTTCAAAGACAGAAATTTTGAGATCGGAGAAAAGGTTGCCATTCGGGATTATAGATCGGCAAATTCCCGATGGAAAATTGGCAGAGTGACAAATAAGGATGGAGCGCTGCATTATACCATTGACGTTCAAGGAACTTTACTGCGCCGGCACGTCGATCAGATCAGATCGGTAGGGAGCGAGGTTCCGTCTGCACCGGTAATCTATGAACCTCGTATGGCTGCTACTTCAGATGGCAACGTGAAGCCACAGGCTCCGGACAAGGACATCGAACAAAGAAGTGAAGCTGTGCAAACTTCAGCCGGACTTGAAACATCGTCAGTTCCAAGGAAAACTGATGAGCCAGTCCTTCCAGTGGATCCTGATAAAGAGTTGCAGCAACCTCAGCCAGGACTTAGACGATCTTCGCGCATCCGCAAAGCTCCTCAGAGATTAAATCTCTAAATAAGTGGGGAGGGATGTAGCATCTGATTTCGAGAGTATCAGTACTCTTATACCCGAGAACCTCTGTGAACGAGAGTAGAGTAGAATGTAATGTAACTGCGTAAATAGCGCATCGCTGCTGTCTTATGAGTTAGTTAGAAATAAATGTTTGCCGTGAACTAGTCTGTTTTGGTTGTGTCATGCATTTCACTGAACCCACCGCTAGACACAACAGATATCCGTTGGCATAATGAAATGTCGCCCATATCCTTAAAGGAGCCCAGTTGGCGCAACCAAGGCTGTTCTCCGAACAATATCCGCATAATCTTCTCAAACAGCTTAGAAATAGCAAGAAGTAAAGAGATGGGCCTATAATTTGTTGTAATGTTTTTGTCCTTGTCAGGTTTCTTTATTGCAATAATAATGGCATGTTTCCAAACATCTGGAATATAGTTGCAGCGCAGACAGGCATTAAAATAATAAGGATAATAACAATAAGGATAATGGCTTTTTTGGGTAAATTTTTGAGAGCAGTATTAGTAATTTTATCATACCCGCTTGCCTTTTTGGGATTTTAAATCATGAATTAGGTTTTGCTCTTCTTTTGGAGTGTTTATAAATACCACTCTGTAATTATTTTAGCCTACGATGCAAATGAAAAATAAGACTCGATATTGATGAAAAGATTAAAATGGAATTTGAATTTTTGGAAAGTTAGAAATTGGGTTAATAGGATAAAAACTTCTAACTTATTTATAACTTATAAGATCTCCTGCAGTGCAGGATTTACGTGTAAACTACACAGGCTATAGTTTAGGGCCTCTACTTTCTTGAGGGTCTCCAAAAAAAATTAAAATATTATATAAATATAGTATTAAAATATAGTATAACGGACTCATAAACGGCCCCATAACTCAAATAGCTCCTCACGGATTGGAGGAAACGGCGTTCGCCAAAGTCCTCATCTCCTTTCTTCTTGCTTAAAAAGCAAGATTGATACAGATACAAAACTCAAATAGCTTAGGACTTTATCAAGTCTAAATCTGGCTCTGATATAATGGTTAATTTTATATTATTTAGTCTGCTACAGAATTAATTTCCATTTCGTGACTTTTTCTTCGCTGATAGCAAAGGTCATACTGCAGCCCGTATTGCGCATGCGCTAAGAGCGTGTTTACAACTTGCCCGATCGTTTGCGAGAGTGAAGGTTTCACTTGTGACGCTGACGTTCGCGCTGTGTGGTGTATTTTTGTAAGCGTCTTGTAGCTCTTCGTGTTTAATGTTTGCGTTGTAGAGAAAGTTCATTGAGTTATCATGTCATCCGAGCTGCCACCTGATGCTCCTGCTCCAAGATTGTGCCATTTAATTAAATGGGTGGATTTTGATGGTTATGGCTTTAATTTGCACGCTGAAAAGAGCCGAACAGGTCAGTTCATTGGCAAAGTGGATGATGATAGCCCTGCTCAACACGCTGGTCTTAGAGAAGGTGATCGTATTATCGAAGTTAATGGAGTAAATATTGCAAATGAAAATCATAGACAAGTTGTGGAAAGGATAAAATCTATTCCTAACGAGACTAAATTACTTGTTGTTGATGAGGAAGCTGATAAATGGTATAAAGAGAGAAAAATTGTCGTGAAAAGCACACAGCCCAATGTTTTGTTTATGAAAACCCCTATTCCTCGTCCGAATAAGGAACCTCCTGCTTATGAAAATATATCTCCATCTGCAAATAATGTCGAGAAAATTTCAATCGAGAATGGCGTTCGCGATGCAAAAAGTTCTCCACCCAGTGCTTCGAAACATGTAAGTCAAAATTTAAGTACTATATTTAACTGTGATTTTTTTTTTTTTTTTAATAGCCCTTGTTGACAGCTAAGTCCGTTTTGCTTTCCGGAATCAAATGAGGGAGAGAACTGGGAGGCGATTTTGATATATTCTTGAATGGACGAAAGAATATTTAGAATAAGATGCGCAATTCTGTAATTAGCGCTTTAAATATATTTTGTTGCGTGTTATTTTGTATTATTTAATAAAAAAATATTTCAGATAAAGAAAAAATTGATATTTGTAGGTAGAATTTAATAAATTCTGTTAAACCATATATAATTTTCCTATCTGCATTTGCTATGTAAACGCAAGTGAAATGTGAACTATTCTCTCAGAATGCACTGGTTGTTCTCTTTTTCCTTCGAAGCCACACTGGGGTTAAACTGAAATTATGCTTCTTATATTTCAAACTCTTTGGAACTAATCAGTGTACTAAAGTATTCTTAAAAACATTTTCTTTTAATAAAGAAATGCAGTGTACTCTTATATTGGTGTTACCCAGGACCAGTCGTAGACCGTTCGCTGCCTACATACAAATTAGAATTGACTGCTCTTTTTTACAGAAATATACTATGTTTGATAATCATTTCACCGCCCATTAGGATCGGCCCTGGTGTTAGTATCATATTCAGAAACATATATTTTATATTAATGATTCAACTAATAAAAGCTCACTTAGATTGTTAGAAATTTTCTTGATATATAGTCCCTATAAATGCTTTTGATGTTTTTATTTTGGGCAGAATTGACATCAACATGCTTAAAGATAGCCTTACTTCCCTCTGGAATAGTATTTAAAAGTTTAGTATGTTGAATTTATGTAGATCATAAATAGTAGTTTTATCACTTTTTGAAGCCTGCAGATGTCCTCTTTGCATGTTTCGATCGTTATATCAGCGTATAACATGAAGATGATCCAATTTCCTTAAGAAAGTTCTGTATGAAGGCATCCCTCCCTGTAGGCTATTACGTTGAGATAGAGGGGGCCCAATTAAGGCTATCTGATGCCACAGCATTCTTTCAGGGGCTCCAATGCTCACTTTCTCTAATTTTTTGGGAGAACAGAACATTTACAAAATGGCTATTTTCACCCCTCCTGGCTTCAATCCTGTATATACCAATGCTGTTCTCTCTGCCATTCGGAAAAATGTCATCTCTTTTTGTGAACAAACTAAAGAAACAGTAATTGTAAAAAGTAAGGCTAAAAGTTTACAATTGGGTGCTTCTTGTTTCTTGGCGATTCTTTTTTAACGTCAAAATCGGCATCATGAAGGCACAATTTCAAGATGGCTGCTACTCAAAACTAAAATGAGAAGTCAAAGAATTGCACGAACTCTGTTTCCATGTACACATCGATCTGTTTTCACTTAAAAAAACATCCTAGAATTGCACAAACTAGGCATTGTGCACTGCCATAAATTTTTCCATGTACACATCGATCTATTTTCATTTAACAGGAAGCTAAAACAAAGTTATAACTATCATGGTAACCAGAAGTAAGGTTTCATTGCCAAAATGTAAAAAAAAAAAAAAAAATTCGTTAATCGAAGGGGCACCTAATTCTACACTAGAGCGAAAGTAAGAACTAAAAGAAACAATACTTATATCCTCTTTTAAGCTCTTTTTTTTATTAAAAAAAAAAGGGGAGGGTGTTGTAAGAAATATTATAAGGTTTTCTGATTGAGAGGTGCATGATTAAAATTATCATTAACTAAATTTAATAGACTTTTAGCTGAAGTGCAGAATCGCTGACTTATTTGTCGCTTTTTACAAGAGTAAGAAAAGAATTGGATTTTTGTCAATTTTCTTTGACTTTTTAAGTGAAAATACATCGATGTGTACATGGATAAAGTCAAGGGAGTGCGCAATGCCATTTTTGTGTGATTCTGGGATTTTTTTTAAGTGAAAATAGGTAGATGTGCACATGGATACCAAGTATGTGCAATTCTTAGAAACGAGCCAAGCAGTGGGTGATTCTGCACTTTCCCCAACCTCAGGGCCGGATAAAGGGCAATCGGGCCCCGCGTTGCCATCAAAATGAACCCTCCCAAAAAAAATCAACTTAAAGCAAATTTCTTTTGATGATAATGGATAAATTACCGTTACCATTTCCAAACTTGTTTATTGCTGTTCGAGTATTCTTAACAATTCCATTAAATGTTGCTTCTGGAGAGAGATCATTTTCCTGGCTAAAATTAATAAAAAACTATCCGAGATCGACAATGAATTAGGATAGATTAAATAATTTAGCAATTATTTCGATTGAAAGTGAAGACGCAAGGAAATTAAATTTTCAAAGAATTTACAGAACAAAAACTTAGAAATATGTAAATTCATGTATTCATATAAGGTGATGTAAATTTATATTCAATAAATGTTTTTGTGTTTTGAACATTTTTATTTTTTAATTTATGTAGAAGTTAACCTGTCTGATGATTCATGACATTTGATATTATATATATATATACTGAATTTGAATTTATTTAAATATTAAACATATAGAGAAGGCCCCGCAAAAAAAAAAAAAAAAAAAAAAAAAATCCAATCGGGCTCCGCACCTATTTGATCCGGGCCTGTCCAAACTTTTATCAATGGGACTCATATTCACCAAAATGTAAAAGCATCTGGTAATTTCTGAGTATCTGCACAACACTGAAAAGTCACCAACTCATTGACAATCTCATAAATTGGTAAAAAGCATTCTGTGGTTATTTTATGGCTCATAAATATTGTTCTATTGATTAAAAAAAGCATTTTATGAGGAAAAAACAAGTGTCTATTGTCATTGCCTCCACATCCATTAGATTTTCCACAAATTCATTGCTTTCTTTGTTATCAGTCACTAAACAGTCCCATTATGACTTTTTTTACAGGAAGGGTGGAAAGATGCACTTAGAGACATTGATTAGTGAAATGATTGTTAAATCAAATATGTATGGTATGTGCTTGTGTAAGTTAGCTGTTGATGCATGTATATTCGAAAATATGCCAAAAGAATATCAGTTGTACCAAATGTTGAAATGAAGAGCACAGATAGTCAGCAAGTATCAACTTCTTTGAATGCAGTAGAAGAATTTTAGAAACGTTGAAGAATACATGCTGATTAATCATGGAAAATTTCATTTCTGTATGACACAAAATTTATTCTTTTTAGAAATTTCATAGTTCTCTTATTTTGATTGATCTATAATAATAAACTATCCTGATAAAAAATGCCATAATTCTCCATGAAGTAAAAATGTAGCTGGAACTTTTGAAAATCAAAGCATAAATTCCATTAATGGAAATAAGCTAGAAGATTATGTTACTTTAGTTGATTAAATTATTAATTAATAGAAAGGAAAACTGTTCGTTGTAGGGAAATATGTAGACTAAAGGGCAGAATCGCCCACTTATTTGATTGTCGGACATTTGTTTGGCGCTTTTTATGAGAGTAAGAATTGGATTTTTGTCAATTTTTTCTCTTTTTAAGTGAAAATACATCAATGTGTACATGGATAAAGTCAAGGGAGTGCACAATGCCATTTTTGTGCAATTCTGGGATATTTTTTTTAAGTGAAAATAGGTCGATGGGTACATGGATACCGAGTATGTGCACTTCTTATAAGCGCACCAAGCAGTGGGCGATTCTGCACTTTTCCCAATATGTACTTGTCATCTGTAGTAGTCTTGGCAACAAAGTAAATAAATATAATAAAAAGGTGACCAAACTGTTGATGCATTTCATAAGTCAGCAAACATTATCAGTATATCAAAGAAAAAGTACTTTTACAAATTTTAATTACTAAATAAGGATTATGTGATACTGTGAAGAAAATGAAATGCATAGCTGTTATGTGAAATCCTCCAGTAACTTTTTTATCTGTTGTTCTAGTGTATACTGTGATTTGTTTCATTAAAAGGAAAAAAAAAAAAAAATCGGAGAATTGCACAATCTTGTATTACGTACAGGTCAGGATCGTGATTGCCTGAGAAAAGCATTTTCTGATTAAAAATTGATGCACTCAAGATGAAGTGTTTGTAATAATAACGAAGCATTTTAAATTTATATTAGGTTATATTTGTAAATGAAATTTTACGTTACAATAAAATATCTTATTATTTGCTAAATTCTTGGAAAATTGTACCATTTGTTTCAATAGTAACCCCAAAGCCATATTTATCATAGGGGCAATGTAGCCACCACAGTAGGCACCAAAAATGATGGACGAGTTAGACGATATTTTACCACGAAAGAAGTAGACAGTATAGTTAAAAAGTTTACCAAATTTTTTTCATGAGAAGTCCTTCACCAAATAACTAATAAATATGCTACACACTTTCAAAAATGATACATTATAGAAAATTCTCAACTTTGTTAAAGATAATTACACTGAATACTACATTGTAAAAGATCTAGTCCCTGATCTTCTGCAATTATAAGTTCATAAAAAGTATTTTTTTCCTCAAAAACATTTTTTGTACTGTTCATTTCAAACACCCATGCTATGATAAAATCAAAATTAATGACCAAATCTCAAAATCTTTTGTCATCTAAGCACTTCAGAGTCAGCCCTTCTTACAAATTCATTAAAACACTGAATGATGATTACCAGCCATGAAATTATAGCTCAAAACAGCTGAGAGTGCAACATACCAGAATACAATAATTTTATGGATCCTTTTCACCAACACATCATCACAGGAGATTTAAGAATATTTCAGGATCAAGAATTAAAAAATGTAACACAGCTTGGAACTAAATTTTGTCGTACCTTCCATATTAGCAAAAGATATAGCATGCAGCAATTCTGTAATGTGATTTGAATACTTTCATTGTATATGTTAGTTTCCATACTAACTTACCGACCACTATTCTGGAATGGAAATAAGCTTTATTAAAAGATTTTGTCCAAAGGATCACCAACTCGCCTAACTTTAAACAAATTCATAATAAAAAGGCTTTAGAAGTTAAAATTCAACAACTGAGTGATAAATTTATTATTACTAAAATAGACAAATCTAGCAATAACTTCAGTTTTATCTGTAAAAAATTCTACTATGATTTAATTATGCAT